CCGCGCTGACCGCCGCTTCGGCGACGTCCGCGCTGACCGCGGCTTCGACGACGTCCGCGCTGACCGCCACTTCGGCGACGTCCGCGCTGACCGCGGCTTCGGTGACGTCCGCGCTGACCGCGGCTTCGGCGACGTCCGCGCTGGCCGCGCCGTCGGCGACGTCCGCGCTGGCCGCGCCGTCGGCGACGTCCGCGCTGGCCGCGCCGTCGGCGACGTCCGCGCTGGCCGCGGCGTCGGTGACGTCCGCGCTGGCCGCGGCTTCGGCGACGTCCGCGCTATCCATGGCTTCGGCGACGTCCGCGCTGGCCGTGGCTTCGGCGGTGTCCGCGCCGGCCGCGGCGCCCGCATCGGCCGACAAGTTGTACAGCCGCTCGCGGTACTTGATGATGCCCGTCTTGTCGGCCATCGCCTCCCGCGACGCGCGCTCCAGCTTCATCTGCGTGGCCAGCAGGTAGCCGTGCGGCCCGTGCGCGGAGTTGGGCTGGTACTGCTGGTGGCGCAGGTTGTACCACGGCACGGGGCACAGCACCTGCCGGACGGCGGGGACGGTGAGCGCGATGGCGGGCGCGACTCCGCTCCGTCGCGACCCGGCCGCCGGCGTACCTCCCCGTAAAGGCGTCGCTTCTTGCCCTGGCCGACGCAGAAGGAGGTCCGGAAGGGCAGCCGCGAGGGCAGCCTGGTGTTGAGGAAGGGCCAGACGCTGTCCCAGAGCGCGCGGTCGCGCAGCAGGAACCGCTGCAGCGTGCAGAGCCGCTCGCCCATCTCGATGGCGGCCGCGTCCTGCGCGTCGTCGGACAGCGCCTCGCGCGTCCAGGCGGGCGCGAAGATGGCCACCGAGCAGCCGCGCTCGTGCGCCAGCCTCACCGCCTGCACCGAGACCGTCCTTTCGTTCCGCCGCCCAAGTCTCTTTTACACGTTTCCTCCCACCCCCGATCAATTGCCAGTGGTTAATTTTGCCTCCACATCGAGCATCAGGTAGATGACGACAGTTAAGGCTCCTATTGAATCGTTCATTAAAGTTATATTGCGTGGTCCTGATGTCATTTTAATGCTTGTCCATTCATCAGTCGGTCCTCACCATTAACGGTTGGCACTACAAAATTATAGAGAGATCTTTTCTTTCTTTCGTTGCGGTCTCTTTTTGTAATCATAGAAGGTACTAAGGGTAGCGCAGGTGAATATTTAACAAAGTTGGGCCGAATTTTCAACGAAAGGAAAGATGCTCGATTATGAGCAGGGACAGCCTATACCTTCTCGTACCCGTAAGCAGCCTACGCATCGGATGAGGAGAACATCCGATTGACGCGCAACAGCGTCTTCAAAAGGGTTCGACTGTATTCGGACTGCGATGAAGTACAGCATATCCTATTCCTTAGCGACTATAAGTCTGCTGACGACAGGAGTGGGCTGCGGCAAGAGTCACGTACCTCCTGCAGGTTGAACATACCACCGCCGTAGAAGTTGCGCCCCCACACGTCCATGCCGATGAAGAGGTCGTGTCGGCGCTCGCCTGCTGCAGCCACGCTTTCGTCTAGATCCGACACTATCCACGAGTAATTTGTAAAGAACCCGTCACACGCCTCGAAATACACTCTGCAATGATCAATAACAGTTCAACTATAGTGAAGAAGCTCTTGTGAGACGAATGGGACGAAGCTTTCAAACCTGAGTGATCCACGTGCTTTGATGGCGATATGTGCGAGTAAAAAATGAGCATGACATTGAGGGGGTATGATTACGATATTAACTTGTTTTTCTCATTGAGTTGATTCTGCCAGTTGAGCTGGCCGGTGGCTGTGACGCTGTCGTACCATAAGAGGGTACCGTGTGGCAGCTCCTGGTGGAGCATCTGGTGCAACCCTCGCACGAACTCGACCAGTTTCTGCGGCTTCGACACCTGCACACATGAAATTTCGTCTCCTTGTTGTTACTGAACATAATTTTCCGTGGAACGCCTCACATCACACTACGTCACCGACACGCTAGACGATAGCGAATTCACTACGAAAAAGGTGCCACATTTTTTCGCGTCACGCACTAGTCTAAGCGGCGTCAGAGACGCCTCGAGACCTAACACACTTAGGCTATCTTTACCCAGTGATCTTTGCCTAGGGAGCAGTGACTAAATTTACCGTCCTTACTCGACTATAAATATAAGTATTTTAGCTTAGGCGAGACAAAAAATCTGTGGTATCTGTACTTTTACCTTGTTTTCTATATTAAGAAGCCACCCATCGAATTTGAGGGTTTTGGCAATGGTAACCAGCACGCTGATGAAGTTCTGCAGGTTGAGTTCCGAGGACAAGACATCCTCCCAGAAAATGGTGCCCTCCCCCCACTCGGTGATGACCGTACCTACGCAAATAATAGGCACATGGGTACGAGTATATCTGTACCACAGAGTTAAACTACGCGCGTTGGTTTGACCTGGCAGTGTGTACAGTTGTTACCGATAACTTTGACGCCGTGTGCGTGCGCCACATTGATCCATCCTAGCGGCGGCACTGTCACCAGGTGGTGGCTGAAGTAGCAGAAGATATCGATGCCCGCCCAGTGGTAGAACGAGTACGCGGTGTGGTTGCCCGTCCCGTCCACCGCACTGCACAAACACAACAGTCGTCCTTACAAACTCGGACGTTTCGTTCAATATCTAGACACGCTCATATGTCATCCAAGGTTGACAAAATGAGACGCGACAGTAGCTGCTTGCTTATACAGTCAAGAGTATATCACAGCTTGTTGCTTTACACTTTGGACCATTCTTATCATAAGCGGGATAGAGTTGGATTTAAACCGTAAGTGTCAACCTTGGCGCGCTCTTGACTCTGTACACGAATTATTCCGAGCCGTCTTTAAAATAATATTGACGTACTGACATGTAATTTTGTTTGTCTATTGCCCAAAGGCCCACATTTGCCCAAACATTATTACAAATTAGCTGTGCCCGCGATTGTATACACGCAAGCATGTATCACTTACGGATCATAATATTAGGTATATAAAAAGGAAACTCTGTTGGTTAGTTATTACGTACATAGGTATCTATTCATCACAGTAATACTTCCCGTATACAATATCGGGTGTACAGCCATCGGAGGTTAATGCATAGATTTTCCGTGTTTCTACACGCGCACGCGACAGGGCCATGTAGAGTTGGCCGCGCGAAAACCAGCTCATCCTGAAATCCACGCCGGCCACCGCGGCCGCAGCATCGGACCTGCGCTTTTGTTAAATAAAATTTTAGTCCTCAATTTGTTACTATACCTAATAAGTACCTACACTTAAATATACCTAATGTAAATTTCATTTTATTAACCAATTTAAAAAAAGGTGGAGGTTCTCAATTAGTCCGCATATTTTTTGTGTACGATATGTGATTACCACAGATCAAATAAATGAGTAAGTACTCGGACATTAGTGGATCGATTTCGATGATTCTTTTTTGTTAAAAACTTTTTTTTTTAAAACCTCAATAGTGGTCCTGTTCAAATTTGATACCACCTCTAAATGTAGCAGATTAGGTTAACCAGTTGTTGCGAACGCAACACAATTTTTGTATTTTAATATAATTTTTGAAGTAGTAATTAAACGTTCGCAAGGGTACATTGCGTTGGCCGGTGGTTCTGTTTTGAACCAATCAACCAATACTACATACATGTTATTTCATCCCTACCACATATTTTGTACTTTCTGCTTGTACTAGTACAGCTTGTACTACCACGTGGCACGTACAGGTTCACGGCTTAGTTGTACAGTGGCAGTAGCAATCCAATGGGTCTCCCAAGACATTGGGACCATCATATCACATCACGTTAGTACCATCTTAAAACTCTACTCTGTAAGTCTACCATGCTAGAAAGATTGGAAACAGAGCAGGCGCACCAGGAAAGACGGTCGGTTTCTGCAATTTACCTGCGGGTAAAAAAAAAATAGGGCAGAACGTTAGCCGTAATGTACCTACCTACATGCAACGTGATCCAGATTTAGATATAAATAGAACACGACCATTTTTTACCCAAGTCAATTTTCAACATTACGTTAGTGTCCCAGAAGTTATTGCCGCTCCCCCCATTACTAGCACGGTGCGCCAGACGCACCCAGGACATGAACGGTACGCCATTGCGAGCACATCCTTTCGTGCACACCTTTCATTCCGTATGTGTCTTCGTCTGCGTTAGTTTTAGTTCCTTGATATGTTCTTAACACATTTAAGAACAATGTAATAACGACACTGTTTGGGGAAATCGTCAATGATTGGGGAAAACTGTGTGACCGTAAATAATCTTGGGGAAACGATTAAAGTGGTTTTGCGCTTGGTTCCTATAGGCTTACCGTGACGGGAAATAGATAAACTCAAAGTATGAAATAACATGAACAGACTCTACCATTGCCAAAAAGTTATCTACATAGCGATAGAATAATTGCCGTTTCTCATTTTTTATGTACAATGCGGCCACTGCACAATTTCGCCGCTCCGTTTCATTGTATGATTTGTCATACAATGAAACTGAGTATACATACAGCGTCATACAAGGAAACATCTATTCAATCATACAATACCTACAATAGAATTTGTAGTTGTAAACGTAGTAAATAGAAAACATAAACTTACTTTGCTCATAATGATTGCTAACACTTCTCGAAAATTGCGGAGATTTCTTTACAAAGATTTGGCCATCACTAAGTGTGATTAGAGGATTAGTATGGACTGGAGAATTTTTACCGTTTGCAATTACGTCTCTCTCATCATTAAATGCGGATGGAACAACGTTTGTTCCACTAATCGTCGTGTCTACCTGTTTTGACACGAACTCGAGACATGAAGTGCTAAACCGAAAATACGTTGTCTTTAAAAATGCTAAAAATTTCATGCTATTATAGTTACATTAATTAGTGAAGAGATAGGTTTGTGTGCGCGGGGGAGAGGTTGAAGTGAGAAGGGAAATCCATATCTCTCCAGAAAAATTCTGCGATTTTTATAAAAAAAACCTATGAAGCCTAAATACTTTATATCTAGTGCCTAAGAAGGTTTTCGCGATTGTTTCACATAGGAAATTAAAAAAAGAAACTATTTTTTCAGATATAAATCGCGTATATTTGTTTTTTCAAATAAACCAACATTTCGGGCCCTTTACAGGTCCCACAGTCACCGGTGTCCCTGTTGCAGATAATTGCATTGGGTTTCAACGGCTTTTCTGCCACAATGAGGCAACAGATGAGAGGTTTGAGTCTGATGAGATTGAAGGAATTTTTATTTGCGTTTGTTCAATCTTTGTCTCAATATAAATGTATATACATATTTATAAGTAATTAAGTGTGCATTGGACCTCCATCTCACCTGACAGACAGTGACAATAAGGTAGATGGTGTAACATGCACACTTAAATAGTGCCTATTCACTCTTGCCTTGAAAACACTCAAGTTATTGCGTTCTAGGAACAAGTTATTTAACTGACGAGTGGGATAATCTCACAAAAATTGTAAAATTGTGTTGTGTAAAAAAAAATTGTGAATATCATAGTAGTAAAAACACCATGACATTCAAGGGAATAAAAATAGTAATTTTTGTTTATAATGTAATTTTTTTTTTTATAAATACAACCATTTTAAATATGTCCTAAGACGTCATGTCTACTCATGAAAATTATAATCTTAAATTTTGTTATAGTTATTAATACAAAAATCGACCACTTAGAAAAAATTCCTTCAATCCGGTCGGATTCAAACTGCCGAATTTGTTGTAATTATTAATAAATAATTACAATGAACTAGTGGAGTAATTTCACATAAAAAATAATTCAATATCAATACAAAGATCAAGAAGCAAGAAGACGTCGGTTCGAATCCGACCGGATCGAAGGAATTTTTTC